GCTATTGCATGTGGGGGGCAATGATTGATAACTTTAATATTTCAAGGGTTTTCATGCAATTTCCACTTTCTGTCGGCGCACAGATGGTAGTGTAGCCACTCCCCCTCTAATTAATCCCATTCCCCCATCCCGTCTCCCTTCCCCCGGTCATTCGTGCTTCCACACCTAGCTTGTGTGGCAGCATTTTTTCTAGGCTCCTCTTGCTTCTTCTTCTGTTCTCGAGCGACGATGCCCAAGGCCAAGTCCAAGTCTCGCCGGAGCCCGCGTTCCTCCACACGGTCGTCTTCGACAGCTTCCGAGGCACTGGCCGGAGGGAGCAAATCCCGCCCTACGGAGGAAATCGACAGTTCTTCCTCCGATTCAGAGGATCCCACTCGCAACAAAGACAAGACACGCCGTGACCCACCGCGCTTTCTGGACATTCCCCCTCCCTCCGACAAGAACCTGGAACAGTCCCATCAAGCGCAGATCCTGGCCGCCATCACCCGCCTAGAAGAGCGACAATCGTCGGTGGATCTCAGGATACAATCACTCCAATCCGAGATCCGTGCTACCAGCAATCCTACTTCCGCATCACCGGCCATCTTCTGGCGCCACGATTCCAATAAGTACAACCACAACTTCAACACCAAGATCCAGAGCCAACTCCAACAGGCGCGTACGTGCGACCAAGTCAGCGGACGAAAAGGACAAGATCCTGGACCAGGCTATCGGTGAGTTAACTTCCCGCAATAGGGACATACTTTTGGCCGACAAGGCTTCCTGGTCGGCCGTTAATATTTTCCACTCTAACAACGCCCTCCCTTTTGCCAACAAGGAGGAAGAGCAGCGGTGGCAAAAAGCAGTAGACGAGGACAGACGCCGGTACTCTAACAAACCCTCCTCTTCCTACAGATCTAACAATAGACGCACCCCATACGACTCTACGGCGAACGGTGCCACGACCTCACGTAACAGTAACAACCAGGGTAACACACAGCAACCCAATACTGTCAACAGTAACACACAGCAGTCCTTTCGCCCCCCCAGCACATGTTTCACTTGCGGCCAACCAGGCCACTTTTCAAAGGAGTGTACCAAATACACCAAGTCGACTTAATTTTACCGATTCACCGCTTTTTTCCCCTCTCAGTTTTGTGTCTACTACACCTCCCGCTAATTCAATCCATCCGCCCTTGCCAGAGCCCCTTGATCTCGCCTCTACAGACTGCCCTGAAATTAATGACTTTGTTTTTTCAGACCACTGTGACGAATCCGATCCAGCTCTCTCTTACCCTGATAATATCTCTTTTCCGGACCCCACAGCAGCTTCCCCGCTCCCCTTGGAGGATGACCAGACGGAAACTATTTACACACAAGATTCCATTCCCACACGTGTACATGGACGTCTGCGCTCACACATTGATAAATGGCGTAGTATCAAAGCTTCCTCCTTCGTTCTGCGTATTATCGAACACGGTTTTTGTCTCCCCTTTCTTCATCTCCCCCCCAACAGAACGTTTCATAACCAACCTTCCTGTAACGAGCATTCAGAATTCGTGGATACCGCCATACATGACCTCCTTTCAGTTGGTAGTATTGTGGAAGTCCCCGGCAGGGAGCACCTTCGCCTATGTAGCCCACTCAAGGTCGTCCCGAAGAAAGGCGACAAACTTCGTCTCATAATTAACTTACATTTCTTGAATACTCACCTAGCAAAATTCTGTTCGAAGGTCTGCCTTGCCTCATTGATTTATTCCGAGCTGGAGATTGGTTTATCAACTTTGATCTAATGAACGGTTATCATCATGTTGACATTAATCCCCTCCACATGCCCTATTTAGGCTTTTCCTGGAAGAAGCGCTTCTTCATGTTCGCTAGCTTACCCTTCGGTTTGAGTCCGGCACCCTTTTTTTTTACCAAACTTATGCGCCCAGTTGTCGCCCATTGGCGAGGTCAAGGTTTTCGCTGTTTCATGTATCTGGATGATGGGTCGGGTGCCCGGCATTCTTACGATGATTGTTTGCGTATGTCTCATATCATGCGGCGGGACTTGGCCGAGTTGGGCCTTATGGCCCATCAAGCCCCGCCCAAGAGCTACTGGATACCCCGCAGGGTGGGCGAGTTGCTGGGTTACATAATTGACTTGGAGACCGGCACCTTTCATGTTCCTGACCGTCGTTGTGACTCATTCCTTATCCTCTTGAATGAAGCCCTGTCTAATGTTGATGCTATCTCCGCCCGCTCCGTAGCACGCATTGCAGGCAATATCGTGTCCATGGGCCTTGCCTTAGGACCAGTGTCTCGGCTCTGGACGCGTAGCTTATATTCATTCATCAATAATGCACCATCTTGGGACTCTACC